AAGTCACAATTTCAAATTTTTGTAAGATAGTAGAAATGAATTGATAGTTAAAAATCAAAAAATTCCATGCCTGATTTATCATCACTTGGCCATTCGTAATTGAGTATATCATTAAGAATAGGAATCAGCTTATGTATGGCACTCTCGCCTTCTGAAGGATAACCAGAGTGGCCAGCTTTTCCTTTACATTTAATATCAACCTGAAAATTACTATTCAGAGAGTAACAGAATGGTTCAGATAATAAAGTTCTTCACCTACCTTTAACGCACCCTTCTGAATAGTTGCGAATTTCATCTCTGTTGGTTCTCCTACTACCAGATAGTCGGGATTCAACATTTTAAAATCGTTGGCTTTCTGTAATTTCATCAGATTTGGAAAACAGCCTTTAAATTCTTCAAGAAATCAAATAATCGCAAAACAATTCCGCGAGGGCAAAGCTCTTGGCGTTAAATGGTCCTTTATTTTTTTCAAAATGACGTAAAGCCTATCCACGAAATGCTCATAAAGGTTTTAAGTCTCCTTCAGAGCACACTTTAGAAGAAGTGGTAAAATCATGTTAGAACCTTCAAGAAATTAATCAAATTTTATACTCACTTGCATTCCAACATGATCAAATTCTTCACCTACAACGAGTAGAAGCCCAATCCGATTGGCTATTTCAGTATGAGAATCTACCAGTGCTTGAGCTGCAGATACCATGCATGCCATTTGCCCTTAAATTTCTTCACTCATTCAAAGGAACGATGTTTGCGGAAGCGCGCAAGACCTTTCGCATCACATGAACCACGACCATAAATGTTGTTTTCGTCTTCTGTTGGAGGTATGTATGGAGGTACAGTGTCCAAATGAGTATTGAAGATCAAAGTTGGTGCTGAAAATTTGAGTCTCAAAAGAGTTGTGGTAAAAGACTTGGACCTTTCAGAAATCAAGGAAATACGACAAATAGTAGAGTAAGAAATTAAAATAGTAAAAAATGGAAATCAGCTCACAGCTCTCCTCAAGTGGTTTACG